ATTCATTTTTTTCAATTGAATATTATTTTCAGATTAGGGGTATATTTTGTTTTGTGTGTGCAAAGATTGTAGGTAATTTTAAAAGATGAATTCATGTGTTGATTAAAGCATAAGTGAAGCTTAGGGTAAAATATCACTAAGCTAGCGTACATTCAGTTCAGCACGAAGTCAGCTGCATGCTTTATTACATATTTTTGAGTTATGATAATGATTTTTCAATAGGTTTACCTATGAAAATTAAGTCATTTCAGCATCAGTCGAATGGTAAAGCCATTACGACGACCTCACAAAACCATTTAATGGGTAGTGGCGATGGGCAGTGTGTACAAAGGGCAGGCTTAGCTTATGACTTGCACTTAACTGGAATTTCTCGTTCATGGGGAATAATTGCAAGCCTCGATCCCAGTCACGATGGTGATGAAACAGTTTGCCAAATCTTTTCAGGCCTGGTTTCCAGACTCGCTGGTACTGTTGTTGTAGCGCACGTGTGGCCACTGGACATCTAAGGGCATCACATACTTGTTATTGTTCAATTTCGTGCGACTTAGGTGTGCCACTTGTTCCTCTAAGAATTAAACTTGGCAATGCACCCGCCGAACCACGACCACACTACTCCATGAAAAAGCAATAGAAGCTGAGTCCTAGACGAACACAGAGGATCAATCTACTATTTAGCAGGTTAGTCTTGTTTGTTGTTAGAATCAACAAGATAAATCGCTCCACCAACTAAAAATGGCCATCCAGTGCTTCCAGGTTTTCCATAATGGTTTAGCTTCGATCGACTCATAAATTTAACTAGTGAATATAATTTGTTCATACATAATCGGTCTACTTCAACGTTTAGCTAAATTTCATAGTTTTTTTATGAGTAGCGAGTAGGTTATCTTGATTCATTCGATTTTTTAGACTTCTGATTTCTTCTATATAGTTAATTTTATACACATAATAGTAGCACCGTTTTCATATATGAACCAAGGGTGATGTACTGGTGGCTATGTATTGTACTTTTTCAATGTTATCACAGGAATTTTAGCGAATTTCAGTGATTGATATGAAAACCTTTCGAAATTTGAAAAATTTGACGGGAATTGGAGGCTCAGTACATAAAAGATATTAGATGCATACAATATATTTGAAACTACCTGAGCAATCGAGATTTTAACAACTCAGACGAGTCACATGGCGATAAGCATTTGAGATTCTTCAAGGAAATAATCAAAACCAAGATTATCTAGGGTAAATAGGGCCTAGAAAGTTTATATCAAACTCTCGTCTAATCGTGCTCAAATATTGATTCGATATATGACGAGAATATCGGTTATTTGATGTGACATGAGTGCAAATATGACATATGTATGAGTGTGTGTACATACCTCTGTATGTAATTGCTATTAAAACATTAAACTTAGTAAGAAATAGTTGTATGGTATGTTGTGAAGTTAAAATTAAAAGTTCTTGAAAATAAATCCGAACGCTATCACTGACTAACTAATTAAAATTCCTTGTTATTGAAGTCATGTTATGCGTGGTATGGATTGAGATAAATGTTAATAACGATGTATTTTTCCATAAATCGATAGCTACCAAGGTGTTACTAACGATATTCCATCTCTTCTATCCAAAATTTCTTGATTTTTCCCTATAACCAAGACATCAGCTATTCATCTTCCTATAAAAGCACAAAGGCATTTCTGAAATTATTTGGTTCCATCAAAATCAATCTTATTTACTGTCACTAACCAGTTTAGTTTTACTGTTCACTAATTCTTAAGCTTCATAAAGTCTTTCAAGGATTTATTAAAAGATTTCAAACATTATTTATGCTCTCTCTCAACGTCACCTATAACTGTCTGGATGTTTTACTCACAAAATTGTTAATGCCTTGAAAATTTATTTCCTATTTGTTTTATTAAGTGACAAAAATAATGAAATTATTCTTTATAAACCCTTATTACTTACATCAATCAGCCTACTTGGAAGTTTTATGATATTTATGGCAAACAACAGCATCCACAACATCCTACTTACTCTATTCTTAACTCATCAACTGAAGATACCTGTAACCTAAGATTCGAACTCCGTGCCTATTACTTTAAACTTTTAAAAAAGTTCAGAAAATTATCAATTTGTCCAATGAAAAAAAATATTTTATCGTTAAAGGATTTAAAAATTGAATGTTGATACGTTCAGAAATTTTATTCCGAATATTCGGTCAGTATTTAATTTTATTTATTCTAGTAATCGGACTATGATTAGAACAGATTCATCATGTCACATTTTTAAATGTCTCATTATTTTTTCATAATAGAATCTTTAGTGTATGAAATGATCATCATTATTTTTTTTGTTTTTTGGTTATTAACTTTTACTCACAAATCTGAATGGAAACTTTTCTGGAAAATATCAGATGGGTTTTGTGGAGATTGTAGTAATTTCAATGGTTTAGATCATGAGTCATTTGAAGCTAGACCACCATGGAAAACCTGGAAGCACTAGACGGCCATTTCGTCCTATTGCTGGACTCCTCAGCAGTGCGCATCCACAACCTCGCCCCCTGCGAGATTCGAACCCAGGACCTACTGGTTTCTCGCGCGAGCACTTAACCACTAGACCACTAAGCCGGCATCCAGCGGTGTTAATGTCTAACTTCAACTAATCCACGAAATTGAGCGACACATTCACTATTGTCTTCAGTGAGTTACTATCTCACAACAGACCTGGTTGAACTCCACTGGTCACTACTTCTCACTAGAACTCCAGGATATACCTTGTGAAGCCAGTCACTAGTGAGCATATGTTGATTCATATCAGATGGGTTTTGTGGAGATTGTAATGAAAAACTGAAGAGATAAATTACATAACACATAAGATTAATATCAGTATAAATAATCAGAAATTTATTATTGTAATGTAGTTTATTTTTCTAGATAATTTTTTTTATACTTAACACAAACAGTAACATTTCGGTTAGCAAATTGTACAAAGTTACATATGATAGACTCATGCACTTCGCATATTATACTAGCACTAGAAATAGACATATGTCTAAAATTAAGGGATTAGAGAAAATTATTAACAGTGTAATATTCGTCTTTAACTGTGATTGGTATCAGATAAAGACTACTGAAATCCAGGGACTTCTAATCAATTCTTCTGTCAACAACAACAAACACAAACGACTTAGCTATAAATCAAAATCCAGACCAAACTCAAAAAGGATTTTCGAGGTTGCAATATAAATGCTAAATGGTAGAAGCTCAGCATTGTCATGTATAAAAACACATATCGTTGATGGCATGACAGATCGTCAAGTACCGTATCTCACATAAACCAAAGTTGTAAATGTGGATAGCAGATTTCCTAATTACTGCTTCGTTTTATTATTTTCGGAACGGGAGCATCAAATCCTGAGTTCGACCACCAATAGAGTTTTCAATTTATATGCATGAAGTGTTTTATGTCAAGACCAATTAACTTTGTAATATTATCATCATTTTCAATACTTTTTTCATTGAATTTAGACCCCAATTAAAACTAGGTTAATAATATGTTATCTAAAGACAATTTTTCAGACGATCTTGTTTTAAAGGATGCCAAATGATAAAGGCCACTTGAATACATTGCTATGAAACCATTCTATTTATTGAACTTTTTCGTATTTTATAGTTCCTATAATTATGTTGATAAAGTAAACGGGTCCACATAATACAATTTCTGAGTTTCGACTACATTTCTGCTCATAACTACTGAAATTGAATTACCAAAGTGTTTTCTAGTTTATTTCAGTTAGTTATCGTTTTCGCTAAATTAATTTGAGTTTTCATAGACATTTTTTAGTGATTGATGTAAATGAAATTGCAGGAATTTGACCTCTTATAATTAAGTTATCTGTAGAAAAACTTTTCAGTGGTTAGGGTAAATGTAGGGGCTAATCATGGATAACATGTCTTGTCAGTCATCTCAGTGATTGCGTCTCTGGCTGTGGGGATATTTTGATATAGATTTGAATTCCTGAGGTAGAATTTGTTCTTTCAAAATTACAGGTACTCCTTGATGACAAATGCCAACTAGCAGGAAACCCAGGTCAAGCAGAGTTTCCTATTGATTACCTCCAAACACTTAAGATAAAATATGTTAATGTGAATTTTTCTGAACAACCAGTTTACTTATCAAATTTTAATATCAAGTTTGTATTATAGTAATCAAAACTTCCAAACTTGCTCAATCTCAAAGTTTTGCTGGTATGTGTAACTTTTCGAAAAAAACTTAGGTTATGTCGTACAAATAAATAAACAACTATTTTGGATGGTATATATAATTACATTTTCGTCTGGCTCATAATTTACTGGTGATAAACTCTTAATGAAGAATCCCAAAACTGAATGAACTGAGCAGACTAATGTTTTTAGTTGTCTAATTTCCAAAGATGATTGAAGCAATAAATTTCTCCGTACCATCGAATGTTTCTGATTTAATGTTTTATTAACATTCTCTTTAGTAGTGCTAAGGTGTAACATTATTTTATATAATACAATACCACGGTAAAGTATAGATTATTGATATTATGAACCAACTTAAGTCAGACATTCACTGAAAACCAGAATGTCTAACTTAAGACATTCCATGATATCATTCACATAAAATAATATCCACGATCCATCATAGCGAATTATATATTTTGATACTATATTTGTGTTCATATTAACACATACTCTTCTTCGAATTCATGAACCGACGGAAGTTAGACAATCATTGAAAATCTGGATGGCTTTTCCTCCTATTGTGGGCTTCCTCATCAGCGAAGATCCTTGAGCCCGCAAGGAGCCCTTGGTTTGATACCCTGTTATGCAATCACAGAATTCGATACTAGGGTGCTTCCACGTTTTTCATAAAAGTTTTAAGTTTGATTGGTTTCCTATTTCAGTGAAATTCAACAACCGCCACAACCCTATGCCGATATATACGTTCCTATTTGTTTCTTCCACTTTATTCACTTATAGGAATTTATTACGATAAAATTCTGTGCTATTTTGGCCCTTATCGCGATGATTATAGCAGCCGCAGCTGGTGGAGGTTCTTCAGCTTCGATAGCCTCAGCAGTAAGTTGATTTTCAAAATAAATTCTTAATTCCCACTATTTTTATTGAAACCGACATTTTTGTTGAAATCATGAACTGCTCAGTTTTAGACCACCAGTGAAAACCTGGAAGCACGGGCTATCTATTTCGTCCTAGTATTAGACTCCTCAACAGTGCATATCCACGATCCCACACTCGAGACTCAAACCCAGGACCTTTGGTCTCATGGGAACACTTAACGTCTAAACCGCTGAACTGGCATCCAACGATGTTATTGTCTAAATCGAAACAATCCACGACGTCGCGCGACCATCTTCTATTGTTTACAGTGGCTAACTGCCCCACACTCGATACGGTTGAACTCCATTGGTCACAAATTTTCACTAGGACCCCGAGAATTCCCTCTCACAACTAGTCACTAGTGAGGTTTTCAATGGTAGTTTAACATTGACGGCTTCATGATTTCAATGAATGAATATGAATATTTAACTGTCAAAAATTCCACTAATCTTATTTGTATTGCCTCTTAAAACATATCACTGTTTAACTAGTTCAACTTAATTCCTATCTGTTTCAATAATTTAGTTGTAATCTCTCTTATGTATTTAATATTTACTAAGATAATCCGATGATTGTTCTTCATACACTTTATTTTATGCTAAGTATTGACTTTGGTATATATTTTTTAAAATAAACCGTAGGTTTATGCTATTAACTTTGTATAGAATTACATAGTAGTCTTCACAACTGAATACTACCCAGCTCAGAGAATACAAATTTAATAAAATGGAAGAAATTTCATTGGTGAATTAATGCTTTTAAGAGTTTAAGTAGAAAATTTATTAATATAAACAGGAATTTGTTTATTTCTTCCATTCCTTCTTTGTTGAATAACTCGCTTTATAATAAAATAAATTAGTGGAAGGTACTTTTTTAAGGTTAAATAAATCAATGAGTTTCAGGTGATACATTTTTTCATCAATTCAAGTCTTCTACTCATTGTTTAACAAATACTACATGTGAATCACATGTGGAGAAATTCGAACACTTCAATTCTACTTGAAGGTTGTGCTGATGATGTCGTTCAGAAGAACGATGAAAGCTCCACGACTAAACCATCCAGCTCGGAGAACAAAACTCCATCAAAATAAAAAATTGTGGTAAGTTTCGGATTTGAACTACAAAAATTCAGAAACCTTAGATTAATAATAATCATCTGCTCATTAGTGATTAGTTTCGAAATGCGATTCCTAAAGTTTTAGAAAGGAGACATGATCTGTGTAGTACAACTATTTTGAATGTGGGACAGTTATTTATCTCATGTAATGAAAAATAGTCGAGCAATATCTTAAACTGATTTAGAAATGTACACTATTGGATCGAAGCCTATTGGTCTGGAATTTAAACAGTCACATTGAGACATAAGGTCCTACGTTCGAAAACAAGTCTGGTCGAGTTAAAATCTGTCTGTTATATAAATTATAAAATATTTAGAAAAAATTTACAAAGTATAGTGTCTATCAATTTGAATAGCTTAACTCTTGCAATAATTTTCACCACACATTGTTATTTTATTCTTAGCTGTTAAAAGTAGATTCGATGAAGCATGTTTTTTTCCCACTTGGGATTCGTCGGTAGGTTGCACTTGCACTCCAATGTTTATGTCTACGACGACATGTACTATGTTTTAGTCTCCATTTGAACAGCAACATTACAGTGTAGTTACACCAAGCTAATGAGTAGGCCCAAATAGGACGCAAGTATACTTATGGATTCTACTCCAAGTCATTATTCAAAACTATAATTAACTTTTAAGTGCATATACGATTTATGACCGCAGACATAACATGCCCCAGAATCACTCATGATGGCACAGATGTATTCACTCTTGGTTTTTCTCCATATCTTCTGTGTTAGTGTTTCTTCATACCTTTACACACTAACCTTTTTGAATAATATTCTCAATGCTTAGTCTTTCTCATTCTCCTTGCTACTACATTACTTCGACCTATTTAGCTATACTGATTGTTAATTTTGTTTCGTCAATCTAATATGCTAATAAAAAATTGAGTCAACGAATATTTTTTCTAGGCTCTACTCTAATAATAACTGACTGAATGTATGTGCAACATCAAAACGTCTAGTCAACAAATCCTATATACTGACAAGGATAGATGAAATACGGTTTTCAGTAATACAAATTCCCACAAATGATAATCGTTAATTTTCATTCTATTAGTAATAAATAAATATCTACCCACTTTTGTGAACAATCAGTGAAATAGTCTCCTTTTTATTATTAATCTTCTGGCATTATTTATACAATAGTAATTATTAATGATATCTAAGTGTGCAGACTTTTTTATGAATATTCAGATTGTAATTATATAAATTCTTGCAAATAAATTTATACATGTTTTCTCAATCTTTCTTTTATATGTCACCTCCTCTGAATTAGCTACTTTTATGAATCCGGTGTCCATCTTGTTGTGTTAATGAGGTATGGCAACTTGGACCGATGCATATATGTGCCTGGTCCTACGTTGTAGCTGACTGACTGACTGAAATATTTAAAAAGTATTTACATATCTGCTACTTTTTTTCTAAGTACACTTCAAAACTATCGATTGTTGAATTAATCTACAGGGAGAAAAACTGAAATGACATGCTGATTTTACGAGGTACCTAAGAATGATTTAGGTATAAAAAATTCTTAATTATAGAATTAGATAATTGTTTGTTTGTACTATTTCATTGACTTCATATCAATGGTATGATAAAAACTCATGAAGATACTTTTTGGAATGTAAGTCATACTTAATCTTGCTTGATTGCAACAGTTATCATGTTTTCTCGTCCTTTAATATATTGATCTAATTCTATCTATCAAGTGGTAATTTCGTGTTTCTTTTAACAAGTTGTAAAATAAACATTGTATTTCTCTGTATTGGATGTTAGCTAGTTGAAGGTAATGGGCAAAACATCGTGTATCATAGTTTTGTGCTAATAAGCATTCATTAGCAGTAAACAATTTTTAGGAAAGTTTTACTATTTTTGAGATATAAAACTCTGTCACTTAGTGTCACAATGCGAGAATTAAACAGTAGCCTATTGGGAATTTAACTAGCCTTCAATGGAATTTCTGTATTTACACTTAACTGACCACTGGATAGTAACATGTTAACATATTTGAGGAGTGTAGTTTCCAATCAACCACAGGGAGCATCAGTTATATTAGATTCTTTTGATAATATTATCTAATGACTGTCAATTAGCATGAAAACTTCATCTGATTATTTCCTGATAACCATTTTCAATTAACTAACATCAAAAATGTAAACATAAATGAAACACTTTCTTACATATAATTATACGTTTGATTAGGTGATACTACTTTCGAATTTTTGTTTTTAGGCCGGTTATTAAATTTAATCACATAAAATGATGATATATACATGATTGAAAGTAATATTAGATCCAAACTGTACATGTTTGTTTCAATGTAATGTTCCTGTATAGTTTTATGTAAAACTACTCAAACTTTCTATTTTAAAGAAAAACACCATATCTATCTGTAAATCTTCGATGATAACAATGACAAGTTATATTGTAAATTGTTGGAATCTTTAGCAAGAGGGTTTAGACCTATCCAGTTTGCTAACATCGACTTCAAGAATTGGTGAACATTAAAAGTGTTGAACATAATGTGATGATTCAATAGTCCAAAGATATAACGTTCACTAAATATAGAAAGTTTTGAGTACCACTAAAAATGGATTTATTTGTTAGGTTTATTTGTTTTTGTAATGATTCTACAGTGGATGTTAATTTGACAATGATAAAGAAAAAATTAAATCAATAATCTAGAAGATTTAATTTTGTGCAAACTTTATATGTAACTAATATATGATATGTGGCTAATGGTGGGATTAAGGATACATGTTTTATACTGTTTTGGAACGATCAGTTAAGTGTACTTGCGATATCTCTGTGTTGAGGTTCAGATTAAAATTTACATTGTCCGTAGATATTATTTAATTTATTAGAAAAGAAATTTTCCTCTACGTTTTTTCTAGATAATAAACTATACGTTAGATGATCAACAGTAGTCAACAAGAAACTAGGATTCTAGGTTTCGTAAGAGTTGGTACTCATCATCAAGGCGTATCTGGAATCGTGTTTGAAGTGATTTATTAAGAGAACAACCGATTTACTGTAGGAATGAAATATCTTACAAATTATTGATCACTGATAAGTGACCAATTTCACTTTAGTTAGTCCTTTAGTATCGACCAAATTGTGTTGATTCAGTCCCAATGTGGATACTAGTCCAAGTGACATGAATAGCTCAGTGGTACCGTCTAAGATTGTGAAATTGGTTTGAATCGCACAGAAAATATTAATATTTTTTGGATTATATATCCGCCTTGCTGATGAGTCCTAACTAGCACTAAACTTAGGTTAAGCATAACATCCCGCCTACTACTTCTAAAACTCGAACATTTCAACATGGTTCACACGATGCTGAGTCACTTAGACACTAATAGATTTATTTGAATTTATTCAACAGAATTCGAACATCGCTAAGGATTGCACAGGCACTACACCAAAAAGAGTTAAGTATCTTGACAATTATCTATTTATTTAAATCATTAATAAAACTTGAATCAACTACTTTGAAAAATAACATTACGTCAGCTTCATAAAATGAATATGAAATTTTTGAAGAAAATAGCCGTCATATGCATATAGTTCTTTATAGAGATGATTAACTGATCACATGTATCATCATTCTTATTAATATGATCAAAAAATTTAATTTGTTAATAATGTCAGCTTAGAAATGTAACTTTACAATGAAAGTATCATTGATGTAATTTGAGTAATAAAACACCTGAATACTGATTGATAGTCTTTTTATAGACATTTAATAGTTTCGTGGATAAACAAAAAATATATAATTTATAAATTATTTCACTAAGGCAGATTATCATTTTCAATATACAATTAAAGACTCATAAAAGTGATGAGTTATTGAAATTAACATCATGAAATTGCTGTAAAGTGGTTGGTTGTGCGATAGTCAGTAATCCAACAATCTTTAGTGTTATCAGTATAGGGTTGTGGAGATTAATAAGTTTTTGATTAAGATTGATGTTAGATCACCAGTGAAAACCTGGAAGCACTGGACGGCCGTTTCGTTCTATTGTGGAAATCCTTAGCAATGTGCATCCACAATTCCACCCGCGAAATTTGAACCCAGGACCTTCGGTCTTGCGCGCGATCGCTTAATCTTAAGATCACTGAGCCGGCGCATCCAATGTCGTTAATGTTTAACTTCAAACAATCTTTTATGCTAATTAACACTCATCAGTAAAATTTATTTTTTGAACTTGTCACCTAGAAACACATTCACCATTGTTCCAGGTAGAATTCAATTGGAAATATTTAAAATATTTGAAGTATCATTAGTTTCCCCAACATTGTAGATAAAATTTACTGTAATAATTAACAAATCAGGTGAAATGGCAGAGTTCAAGACCGTCTTGGATGAAGAGATGGGTAAAGTATAAACCTCAAGATCCTGTAGAAATACACGTAAAAATAACCGGAAACAAGATGCTTTGATTATATTTTAGGGGAGCGCAAAATTTTACAGCAATATCTTACGAAATGTTTTGTTAAAGAAGTTGTATACAGGCTTATTATGTTTTCCACTGGCTGGTTAATATTTCAATTTGTCGGTTAATTGTATTCTCATTGTCTTTGTTCAAAGTGTTGACCTGGCGTGGAATTAAGTTGGAAGGTCAAAATAAAACTTGGCAGTAGTCTATCAAGCTATTGACTGGTGGTTTGAGCGCCATTGGTAGATTTAGACTGCCTAATCTGGGTTGACGCGATTACCGTAACCAATAATTTAATACATTAGGTAAAATGGCTCACAATCAGTCACAACGATACAGCTGCATTCGCTCGTTGTTAAAGTTCCTTAATATACACTTTTTTATTGTTTTCGCAAACCATATTCTCAATATTTTAGTCTCCTCGTTATCACTGTTAAGATAACCATTTCAGCTCCTCTGCTAATCATCTTTTTAACTTCATCTCGTTATATTGATGTGGTACGCCAAATTGAACTATCACGTATTCGAATAGGCTCCTACATTGATTATGACTGACCAACTATCACATTGATATGAAGTAATACAGTGGCATGGCTAAACTTTTAAACTAAATTTTCCTTTGGTTTTATGTCCTTTTACATCCTATGCTAGTCAGTTTGCAATAAATTTAAAATAAACCCGAATAATTAGTGCACATGGGGTATGTTCTTAAATACGTAATTAGTCAAATGGCAATCATAAGTGGATGATCACTCCAGTTATTTTCAAAATCATCTACTAGGTGAAACTCTAAGAACATTTTTTCATACTTCTATGTTGCATTCCATTCGAACGAATCAGACATCTTAACGATCAACTTTTATTTTTTATATGAAATACAATTTTTCTAATCAAAAGTATTGCTCGTTTCGTTAATGAATGATTTATGTTAGTATCTTAATTTTAAAATATTTTCATACTTTGAATGTGCAAACTGTCTGATACAGTATCTGAGTTTAAGTTGCCTTATCATAAGACAATTTGTTCAGTTCTCATTAGTTCAGTACTTTATGATATAAACTGGCAACGAAACTAGAAAATCTATCAATCGAAGTCATAAATGTAAACTGAATCAATGATCCGAAGGTTAAGTCTTCAATGCGAGATTTGAAGGTCCTAAGGTTTGATTCTCAGTGGGTTGTGTGGTTCTCATGAAGAGCCCTATGAAGAAACAGCTATTGAACTTTTCCTCATTTTCAGTGGTTGTCTAACAAATTCACTCACTAATGAAACTCAACAACCTCCATAAACCCATTTTCAACATTATTAATTGACTAAATATAATACAAACAGAAAATTTGCACAAGCTATTAATAAAATGATACCATATCACTATCATTTTATTATCACCCCATATATTAATCAATTAATCTAATAAATTTCATCTGTGCACACTATGATCCTAAGACTACCATATGTACAAATTTGTTATTGAAAATAGAATAGTTTAAGTGTATCTAATTATTTCATCGGTCAAATGGAGATAATAACTATTTCATTAGTTCTTATCCAGACACTTAGTAAGAAAGAAAAGCAATCAGAGTTAGTAAATATTTCTTTTCAACCAGATGTTCATCATGGGTCTACACTAATATGTATATGTTTACTAAACTTGTCGATAAACACTTGATCTAATTAAAAATTATAACGACCGTTCAGAAGGTTCCAATCTTAAAGTTACAAGTCATAAATCCTGCTGTCAGTGAAATACTAACATTTACTTCAGACAAACTAAATGTGGGCTTTTTACAATGATTCAACACTAAGAACCATTAATAAAGACAGACAACGTGAATTTTTCAAATTCAATTTCTTTTACAGATCCATCTTCATGAGGTGTTTAATTCTATGAGTCTATCATAGTATTTGAAATTAGTTTTCATCACGTAACTAATTAAAGTATATTTGTGTTTGATGAAATTTTAGAAGTTGCTTCTGATTTACTACAAATATATAAATCGTACATTCATATTTCCTTTAATAAATGCATTCACTGCCAACGATTTTTTTAAACCCATAGATTTTATTTGCAGTCAACTTCGTATTTTACGGCATTGATACATTTATCTTATTTTCATATTATCGATTGAACGGTGGTTACGTGAATGACCCTAAAATTAAACAACGTCCTAACATACCGCCGAAAGTTAACCAGACGTCAGAAGCCATAGCAGCGCCTGAATATCCAAATGATGGTTTCGAAAAAGAATGAAAATGGTTTCCAAAGCCATTAACATTCCAATCTTTATGGTAAGTTACACTCCATTTTGGTGAGGAGGGTGGGTAGAACGTAATACATTATTAAAACTTAGTTTCTTTAACTATTCCCTACATACATGTGCAAAAGAACCCACTTGCATACAGAGGAATTTTCTGAGAATCGAAATAGCTGAAGTACATTTCCCAAGTTGATTTCATAACATTTAGCCAGTTCTCTGAGTCAATGAATGATTTTTAACAAAAAGTTAGTTGATGTTCAGATCATTTTAATTTGGTCAGTTAGACTAACTTACCTATGTGAGTAATATAAAATCATTTAAGTCAAACAAATAGGTTGAGCTTCAAATCTGTTCCATTTCAGAATAATAAGTACAGACTAGATACAGTATTCGAAAATGTAAAGACATCGACTACCTTCATAGAAGAACAATACCAATAAGCTAAAAACGGATGTGTTTCTGGAGTTAAGTAAAACAAACTACAGTCCGATAAAACTCGTTACTTTAACCGTTGTCAACTCATCTAGACCAAATCTATAGGTAGGATGTCAGTGTTCCTCGTGAATTATCAGGGGAACATGGTACATGTAAGTCTCCTTAAGAATTACTAAATAATGGAAATAGACGTAGCTCATGGTAAAAACACAACCCAGGAAGTGATTTCATTTCTAAAAAATATCATAGACTTATTCACATCAACGATCTATGTAGATTAACTTCACTTTTCAATTATACGAATATCCAATTATACGAACTACGCAAAAAATAATAATCTAAATTACTAAGGCCAACTTAAAACTCCCTTGCACAGGTTGAGTAAAAACGGAATGATAATTAGAAGTACTATTTTTAACAGTTCGATACGGAAAGTCAACTTGGAGAGCCATTCAGTCATCCACAACGAACGACCAGGCACATATATGCATCGGTCCGAGTTGCCACACCTCATTGTCACAATGAGATTATCACCAAATTCATAGAAGCAGTTACTTCAATGGTAGTAATATATAAAAGAAAGATTGTATATAAGGATATGATACAGGGAGGAAGAATTAGTTCGTAGAAAGGTATGAGCAATTCTAATCTCACTGTTTAATGGAAGACAAAGAGTGCATACACCGACGCTTTTGTGATCGATTCTGAGCCGTCACCCAGGGTCTCCAACCACCAGTTACGCGATAGTCGCGTGGACCCCAACAAAGTAGTCTGCATCTACCAATATGACTCAGGCCAGAATTTAGTGACTTTACGAACTAATGCCAAGTTTTGGTTTGGCCCCCCTTAACTTTCTTCCATTAGTCTCCAATACAAATCAGCATTGTGTGCCGTGGTAATTAGTGGTTGGACATACTCAGTAATCTGATCAGATGTAAGCAATATTTCTAAAACGTGTGTGATCAAGTACTAGCAACTTACAGATATCCTCTACTTTTAATGACCACGTTTCGCAGCCGTAACAGAACGAGCTGCTGCGCAGTATATGCGTCCTTTAATCGATAGACGGATATCTTGCCTCCGCCATAGGTGATGCAAGTTGGAAAAAGTCAAACGAGCCTTTTAAATCCGTGCAGAGATTTCATCAAACACCAACCCATTAGGGCTAATCATACTTCCAAGATAAGTGAAGTTGTCAAAGCGTTCGACTAATTCACTCCCTATCCTTAGTTCGGCTGTTGACGCAGGCCAGTCCTCAAGCAACAATTCGCATTTAGAAAGGAAGAAACGCATTCCAAATATTATGGCATTGTTGATCATTGCTGCCAAAAGACTGCATTTTATCAGTGTCTTCACCAAATAGGACTATGCCATCTACGTATTGTAAGTCATTAAGTGGGTCTTCCGGGATGTGATCAATTCCCGACAATCCAGACGACGAGAATGTTATTACCAGCAGGGTGGGTGAAAATTTGCAACAAAATTGTGGAACTCAGTAGGTTTGTATGTTAAAATGACCCCAGAAAATGATTAAAACTAACTGTCCATGAATAGTAGGGCATCATGTCCTATTGAAAATAAATGATTGTAGTGGGTTTAGAAAACGTGACACCCCATTTATAACTTTGATTTCTTAACTACTGAGTTGGATTTCTACACATTTTTGTGTAAACAAGTCAAGACATGGAACCAGTGATCAATCATACTCATGTGAGTGGGTAGTTACCGAGTTGTCAGGTTAGGTACACCTTTCCCTGATGAGAAATGTTTTTTTCTTTTCAGAGATATCGACTCGGGACTCTATCGCCTACAGATTAAATGTACATGACAGTAGACAATATCCAGAAATCCATTTTATCTGAAACAAATATTTTTCTTTTCTATTCAAAATACACTAGGATGACATATTTTCTTACAAACATCATGATCTTTTTTTCTATAATGATCTGAAGTGAGAAGGATTTTTCTTTTTCATAGTCTACATTAAGCAATTGTTGTCGTTTTTTGTCTACAACTTATGTTGTGTACTTTGATATATGCATTTTGTGTTCATTTTTTCATAATCAGGTCAGTCATATTTACATCTTATTTAGTTATATCACTTACCACGTTTGGAACTTGTTTTCTGAATAAAAACGTAACTTTGTATCTCATGTGATTCAGATTAACTATAATCAACTATGAAACTAATAACTCGACTATACTCTTCTTCTTCTTCTTGTATGTATAGAACTGAGAGCTATATTGTTAAAAGGTTACTTATGCTGGTTAGCTTCTTAGCAAGGCTTTCTACGGGATAGGGTTGCTGACTCCATACCCAGCCCTCCTTTATCCAGGCTTGGGGTCAGCGGTAACCCTAGAAGAGCTACAGGCGGAGTCATCGCTAAACGTAGTTGGCAATAAATTTTGAACTTAGATTTCATATTGGCTAACCTTCATCATCAAGTTATACCTGGAATCTTGGAGACAGATGCTTCCTGTGTGGTTTGAATATACATCACTCGGCTTACCAGTCTAATTATCTATTGTTCAGCTAACCGACCCCCTGCAGGACTGATATTTTTACAGTTGACTGACCGCTAATCATACATCGAGTCAGTGAGACTAGCGGTCACGGTGCAACTTGTAACCACCACTTGGTAACCTCTATTCCCACTCCAACTCATGATGATATACATCTCACATTTAGTTTACCACATAATACCTCGGCTAACACTATTGTGCGACGGTTGTGCTCAAAATCCAGATAAAAAATGTATCTGGAACAATAGGTACAATATAAGAGGCAAGCATATAATGACACATCCAAGGGCCCCATAAGTGTTCTTTGTTTCAGTTCACATAAGGGCTTGCGTTGATCTGTCACGCCGATTCATGAGATGAATATAATTTTAAACAAGTTTTCATATTACATTTCAAACTTGATCACTAGGATCTAATTATCATTAAAAGACTAAACAAACATGACACTGGTCACTACTCAGTGACCAGACAATTGAGTGTTCGAATGCGCTAAGTTTGCATGATATCTAAGTAGAAACAAATTGACAGGCTAAAGATTAAGAAGCCACAGATAATTTTTTTAGTAAATAAACATCGCATATAGTGAAAACAAACAGACTGCCATTACTATTCAGTGTGAACTGTTTTTTTCAACTAGCACATTTCTAAACACAGTAGTGAAGAATAAATTTACTTTTTTTATTGGTAGTGTAAGCATAACTACGAATATTTGAAATTATCAATTTAATTAAAGACTCTGGATTTTTGATGCTGACCTAGCTACCTAATCTAATTATATTCACTTCTTATTATTCTAAGACAAGTAATTATCATGTTCATTGGATTAGATGAAAATAAGCACATAATTATCACCAAGAGCCACAAACCATTGAAACGTTTTTTTAAGGAGTGTTAATAATCTGTTGGGGTTTTCCCCTTGTAGGTTCAAATCCCATCACCGTTGCTAGTTGATACAACCGCAGAAAACTGGTACTTGAGACAAGGAGAAACACTAAGATGTGTTAACAATACAAGAAAGGAGATAAAGATTGAATTATAACAAATGAGTATTTTGTTTAAAAGAATCCCTCACTAACCAAATATATACATTTATCAGCATATTTTACTGACATTTAACAAATCATCAACAAAAATCAATACTGAAATAGTAGGAATAAAAGGTGGAATTATGCAAACAGACAAGCTTTGCAAATGTTACAGTAAACTAATGCAAAAGAATGCTAAGTATCATACTGAAAGAATATCATACTAAATTAGTACAAAAGAATGTTATTCTGTACAAATACCATTGAATTACAGTATTATATCGAGTTTTATCCAATCCTAACAAGAAAAACACACGATCCATCTATATTAATATCATGATTTTGTGAACAGGTAGCCTTGAATAACAAAAGTATTATTCCGCAAGTCCGATGATCAAAGCTAATTCGTACAATCTAAAATAAGAAACAAACGAAACAAAATAGCTGATACAATATTATGATCGTAAAATCGAAGGAATTAATTATAATGTTAAATTAGAAGATCAATACAAAAATTCTAGTGAAACTTCTTTTCGAGGGTCCTAACAAAGGAACTAGATAAGGATTGGTCATGACGTGATGGCGTATCCGTGGTGTCCAAGATACAATTGCTCAAGGCCAACTCCACATAGCTTTTTACCGAGTTCTTGATGCACTAGTCCTGTATCCTAAAGGTCTTACCACTGGCAGCTGAAAGCCATCGGCAAGATGAAGCGTAGGTTTCCAGGGTTGATCACTTCTAACCCCTTCCTTCCGTTGTCAAGAAGTACTATCGCCGATTGTTTGAGGGAAATACCTTGCTACTGTCGCGCCTTAGTATACACAGCAGTACGATTCCGTATTTGAAACTTTATTTTCTACTTACAGTGATGTTCTTAGACCGACCTGTTTGTCATGTTAAGAACTAAAGCAATTTGTGTTACAGCCAACACGATAGACAAGTCCGACCACCATGTCAACGTAGAAGCTACAGTCAGGTTCAAGTAACTAAGACTCATAAAATTGCACTATCCAACACACTGACATTCCATACATTCTGACCTTTGGGTAAATTTAAATCGAGAATAAGATTAAAAATAAAATCGTCCTATAGAATACCATATGTGGCTGATGAGAAACTTTGAAATATAATGAAGTCACTGATGGGAATTTTTATGTATGACGGTAAGCAACAGAATTTCAAATCTAAAACAGAATATTTTTTACCCAAATATGACAAGTTCATTGTTGATATGAGTGTTAACAACCATTAAATGTACGTTCATGGTTACCTTGTGGACTCATTCTAACTCAAACAACTGACGATGGAAGATGAAAGTAAATTTTTATCAAGCCGTTACTAAATTCATTTAACAAAATACATTACAGTGCTTTGTATAAAATGTCCAAACTGTATACAACTGAAGTACAGTAATAGACTAATCACGTTGCCACCAAATGTTCTACCAATTACTGCGATGAATTGTTGTTTAATTATAACATTAATGACAATACAGTTTCAATAAGAGCGACTTGATAGTTGATCTTGAAAAAGCCTAAATAGTTGGGGAGTAAGCTAAATTACAGACTATTTCTGCCTCCTTACTATTGACAGTTACCGCACCAGTAGTTGTCTTTTAACAAGATACCATGTATCATCAGGACGCGAATCGCTACTATTGTTTGATAGCAACCTATTAAATTTGACTTGATTTCCCTACCTTCAAACTTATCACCAATGTATACATATTACGTTGTGAACAGTTCTGAAAACTTAAACATCGCGTAGTAGCCTCCAACCAGCTTCTTCTGTTTTGAATCCCGCTACACTTAGGTTTGGACGGCTTACTGGTACCATTAACCCTTACGCAGAAAGTGACTTGAAGTCGGATTAAAATCCCTGAATTTGGTAAACGGGTTATATTGGCAAAAATTAAGTAGACATTAACCTCGCAGTGATAGTACTCAGTTGATTTAAGACATTAAAAATTAACAAATACGCACTCATAGCCGTACAAAAAATGTACAAACAACGTACCAAGCGAACGATGACTTTATGCATAAATATCCACGTACTAACTCACAATATATTCAATAACCACCAAGATATTTTTGACAACTGCATGCTTTTGAAATGATTTGAGACACTTCGATTTCTTCTAAATGAACTATACTTATACTCCAGGCATGTATACTCGACAGGAGTCCGAGCTGCATAAACAAAGCGTGTTGGATAATCGTATTTTGTCGCTGGGCACAGACTGAGCATAATCATATGACAGTTGTGTACCTTCAAAGATAACTTTGTTAGCAAATAATGCTAAATAGGGAATGAAACTATCAACTCGAACAGGAACTACTGTTAGATTAGGTGTACAAGAATGGTTAATTAGGCGTGCTTTCGACTTCACTGAACCCCACGATTCGGAATTCCCGTCAACACATGTCTCTGACACAAGATGATCGTCACTATACTCACGCATTATCATGATAAAATTGCGACCATAACATGAAAGTTGAAGGGCTTCTCTTAGGCAAGCTTCTTTATATGGAATTACTTCACCCAAATAAACACAAACGAGTTCCCCACGTTGGATTTCACAAGCTGCTTTTAAACCTCTACCCATAACCGGATGATTAGTTACATAAGTTTTCGTATGGTACTCAGACTCAAATGTAAACTCAGCATCGTTTAAATATCTTTGGACGACTCGATTAGTGCATGATTGACTACAAACACATTCACTGTTGCATTCAAAAATTGGATTCATAAAATTAGTCAGTAAACCATTCATATCATATGACATTCCAGATTTCGATAAACAAGTACAATTGTCTTCTAGGCGGCAGATATTTTCACATTTACATCCAATAAGTTGCTCTGTTATTAGATCGATAGGGATGTCCTCATGGTATAATAGCTCCATGTATCCGACAAAACCTGCAAATAGAAAATCGGTTAGAAAACAGAACAAACATGGATCTGGAAGTTGGCCTTATGTCTAACATACTATTCGACCTCACAAGTACACTTGCTTCACATACATGTTTGTTTGACCACTCGTTATGTGTGTTAAACTTGAGTTGGGATTAGGATATCGGGTAGAGCAGATTGCTTTGTACTCTTACTGATGAATACTGTGATTTAACTATTGAAGGCTTTTTGGTTAATTCTACAGATATACAAATCATGCCACATGGTTACATACGCATCGATCCTACTTGCTTTCTATTTTCCCATTCTCATTTTAAAAGTAGAAACTTCACTGAATCTTTCAATTTTGTCATTCTTGCAAATAATGAGAACTTTAATAACTAAATAAAGGTAGGTTTTAACCCACTTCTTGCCTAGTGAGTAATTGGTGTGCAATCCGATCACGAGGATGTTTGGAATTTCGTGAAAAAACTGAGGCATTTATCTAATTGAACATAAATACCAGTACACAGAGAAATAAAATACATATGCGCCACAAAGATCACTTCATTTGTGTGTGGACTGTGAAACTGTTAGGGTAACCAAACCGAAGCAGGTGACCTTAAGGAATCACACCAGAAGCCTTTGACCTAAAGATTTGATCCACAAGGCATTAGAGCAACTTCAAGAGACGCAGCCCCATGATAGCCAGTGACCAATGGTTAGTTCATACACCATTTGTTTGGAAACAAGGTTTACAAACACAACTAGTTGAATCCTTCGTGTCAGCCAACCCGGTTCAAGTGCCAGGCTTGGTAAAACCCCGGAATAGGATGGATTGAAACTGGGGACCACGGTATGTAGTAACGATTGCGAGTACTCCGTAATTTGATATCCACCGATCAAGGAATACGGCTTCAACTGTCTCTGCGGATGTGTCTGTGATAGGGCATGCTGTCGCTCATCTTGTAAACCTGTCCACTGCGGTAAGAGTATGCGTGAAAGAGTTTGATGGTGGCAGGGGACCAACTATGTCTAGATGAATATGTTGAAAGCGTTTATCAGGCAATGGAAACTTCCCAAGAGGACTAACTGTGTGTCTTTGAACTTTGCTGCGTTGGCATTGTAAACAATTTCTGGTCCATTGCTTTATATTTGCGTTCATTTTTGGCCAAACAAATCTTTCCGCGTTCAGTTTCACAGTAGCACGGATTCCTGGATGAGATGATGAGTGGAGACAATCAAAACCTGTTTTTCTGTACACTATTGACAGAAATGTTCCGTGTGTTCCAGTCGAAGTACCACAAAATATAGTTGAGTCAGAATGTGGTATTGGGACACTTTAACACCAGACTCGGACTTTGCTTACAGGCAGCAAGATCAGAATCATCCGTCTGTAAACGTGCAATGTCTAATAAATCGATTCCGTTGGTGAAGCAAATTGCATCGACGTTGAAACATGGTATTGTATCTGCAACAACATTTGAGTTACCTTTTATAAACTGTGTATTGGTCAAAAATTGGGAAATATAATCTAGTTGCCGAATGTCTCTAGGTGAATTACGATCGATTTTAGAGTTAAAGGCGTAAGTTTAAGGTTTGTGATCAATGAGTATCACGAAATCTCTACCTTACAGTAAGTGTTTAAAATGTCTAACAACTAGATAAATGGCCAATAATTCTCTACCAAAAATACTATATCGAGTTTGAGTTGGTTTTAGCTTCTTTGAAAAGAAAGCAAGTAGTTTGACTCCATTATTTACTCGCTGTTGTAGTACCGCCCCTACTGCTGCCTGGGATGCGTCTGTACACAAAATTAGTGTTGCTTCCGGGTCAGGACTTAGGTAGGTCAGCCTAGTAGTAGAAGCAATTCCTGTTTTAGCTGCAGGGAAGGCATCTTTCGCTTCGGAGGATAATGTGAACTTTTTGACTGCCTTTTAACATTTCCGTTAAAGGTTGTAGAATGGCTGAGCAGTGCGGAATAAACCGATGATGAAAATTAATCATTCCCAAGAAACGTCGGAGTTTATTCCACGAATCTGGTTCTGGGAAACTTTTGATGGTTGCAATTTTTGTGTCTAACGGTTTGATTCCACGTTTGTCAATCGAGTGACCTAAGAACTCTTAACTCTCGACTCCAAAAATGCATTTGGATGGATTAATGACTATACCATATCTCTGAAATCTTTCGAATAGTTGATATTATTTATTCATTTATATGAACACATAGATACTGGTACAAGGGGGCACCAGAAATATATGCGCCACAAAAAACAATGAGAATGGGAAGAGAAAAAGAATGTAAGGTGCGTATAAGAAAAAAAGAACAATAACGACCACAGATTAGTGTATGATAGTGTTATATTAATAATAATAATAATAGTGGGGGAAACGGAAGGGTACAACCAGAAGAATTCTTTCAGTTAAGGAAGGTAAAAAGTAAAAGAAGCTTACAGCAGGATCGCCACTGGCTTCTATTGTGAGCCATATCTGATAACGTCTCTAGCCACTGTGTTGCACCATCTCTCGGAACCCAGCCAGGGAGCCGAGAAGGACAAACAGAAGCCAGCCCTTTGCAGCTTTCTTTCATAACACGACACCATGTCATACACTGACCACATATCCGCTTTTCCAACCAGTCCCAGCGTCGGCAAATAGTGCACGACGTGGAATTCTCTGGGACGACATTCGTAGAACATATTCAAGCAACCGAAGTCGTGAAACAAACTGCTAGCTATTAATATTTCGTCAATATACACGAAAACAAAATTTAGACCTTTAGTGACCATCCATAAATCGTTGAAAAGTCTGTGCAGCATTCTTTAATCCAAATGACATTCTCAGAAATTCAAACAAACCAAATGGATTAATAATGGCTGTTTTTACTATATCCTCGGATGCTACTGGAATCTGATGGTACGCTCTCACAAGACCGATTTTAGAAAAAAATTGTTTGCCGTGTAAGGTAAGCGAATGGGGTAACAATCAGGTAACGTCAAGTTATTCAATGACCGATAATCACCACAGGGTCGCCAACCCTGATCTCGCTTACGTACCATGTGGAGTGGGGATGCCCAGGGGCTACTTGACGGACGTATTATCCCAAGTTGTATCATGTGCTCAAATTCAGCTTCTACAACAGTAAGCTTGTCCGGTGGTAATCGGTGTGGACATGCCGAAACTGGTTGGCATTTTGTGATGATTCGATGTACTACGGAATGTTGGATGGTGTTTTCACCATAGTCCGGTTTCGTTATCTTGGGAAATTTAGATAAAATATAGGCGAATATATCGTTTGCTGGAGTGTCTGTTTTAATACTATGTATATGACAGTCCGACTGAATTCCAGGAACTTGAAGTTTTGTGCAAGAAACGACAAGTTTTCTTTTTTTAACATCAACTAGTAGGTTGTAGGAGCTTAGGAAGTCTGCACCTAATATAGGGTGACGGACATCAGCGATAATAAACACCCAGTTTAAACGTCTTATTCCCAAATCTAATGTCAGGAGTTGTTCACCAAATGTTTTTACTTCAGTTTTATTAGCCGCTGTTAAAGTATATTTTCCACTTTTAGCAACAGGTCTTTTGGCTAAGGTAACTGTGAGACTGATCGCGGAAAGATTTGTTTGGCCAAAAATGAACGCAAATATAAAGCAATGGACCAGAAATTGTTTACAATGCCAACGCAGCAAAGTTCAAAGACACACAGTTAGTCCTCTTGGGAAGTTTCCATTGCCTGATAAACGCTTTCAACATATTCATCTAGACATAGTTGGTCCCCTGCCACCATCAAACTCTTTCACGCATACTCTTACCGCAGTGGACAGGTTTACAAGATGAGCGACAGCATGCCCTATCACAGACACATCCGCAGAGACAGTTGAAGCCGTATTCCTTGATCGGTGGATATCAAATTACGGAGTACTCGCAATCGTTACTACATACCGTGGTCCCCAGTTTCAATCCATCCTATTCCAGGATTTTATCGAACTTCTGGGATTGAAGTACATCAAAACAACAGAGTACCATCCGGTAGATAATGATCTGGTCAAAAGAATGCACCGCCATTTGGAAAGCTCTCTGTTTGCACAAACTGATAAATCAAAATGGAGTGATGCACTACCACTCGTAATGCTGGGAATCTGTTTAACTTTTGAAGAAAATATAGGTTGCACATCCCCCGAAGTAGTTTACGGTAGAACTCCTACATTAACAGATCAACTAGTAGACCCAGACACAAAAATACCACCTGATCGAAGTCGTTTTGTGATCCGTCTACTGCAAACGATGCAAAATATCAAAGCAATACCGCCGCGCGAATATAACAATCGCGTACAACTTGACAAACGCCTTGAAGTGTAAAATTGTCTTTTTTCGAATCGATGGCGTTAAAAAGCCATTGAAGCAATCTTAGGAATGACCGTACCAAGTAATTAAACGAAAAAACAAACGATTCATCATCAACAAGTGTGGGAAGGATACAATCTCTATAAATAGTATAAAGCCAGACTACTACGAAGTTCAACAAGGCAATGAGAATAGCACTACAGATAAACAACCGGTAAACATTTATTACAGACATCTACCGAACATACTTTCATTGATGAATCGTATGTTGCCAGATGTCCTCGCACAGTACCACCAAGTTTAGCTGCCGCCGTTTCCCTTCAAACCTCAAGCTTTCAAAGAAAAATACAACCCTTAGGAACCTGGATTCCCCATCTTGGCTGTATCAGAGAGATATTCGCGATATAGAAATACAGTCATTATATCATTATACCTAAAAATGTGAGTTGATGATAAATAACAAATGTAAAGTGTAAAAGTGACAATGCCTTTACACATAACACCTATATAAGCGAAGTGTACCAACCCAGTCAAGTAAGAGGTCAGAAATGAAGAGATTCAAGCATATATTCGGAAGGCTATCAATATATCGAGAAGCGTTTGGTCTAAGCTGCAAGGGATGCTTAGCATGGTATACCCACTAGTGGTCTGGTGCTGATGCGTGACCAAGAGCCTCCAGCTAGATTTGTCCATCAAAACTAATGCGGTCACATTATCGTATTGCTATGTCTAATATGAAGAATTTCGTAGTTTAAAAAATTGCAGTTAGAAAGTTAGTATGTATTGTCATGTATACTTTTCTGGGTTCTCAGATAAAACCAAATCATTTTTGTAGTTCGGACGTGAAATATATCGCCTACACTCTCAGCGCTTTTACTATTCCGCGGATATTTAGGTTACATGTTGTGAGTGTGAATGAATCGGATCAACCTATCTCCTCATGTTCTTCTGAATTACACAGTTTCCAAGTTTAATGCACCTATGTATCCATTCCTTAACATAAGTTCCATTTCGTTGAGTAGATCTTAAAAGGCTTGTAACCTGTTGTTCAGAGTTATCGCCAATTCATTGAGTTTTTCAGTATCTGGAAAGAAGGCTGTATTGAACATATGTCATGCTATTTACCTAGTTGTCCACTGCTTCTCTACTGGCCATAACCAGGTGGTGATTTGGACCTATGCCAACTCTCCTATTAATTCTCACGTTTTTCACTGACATTGTGATTTTTTACTGAAGCGAAAATGTGATCGACCTGGTTCTCCATCATGTGATCCGGTGAGACCCATTTGTGTGGGAATATTATTCCGGCGATAACCTAGTTGTTGAATGCACATAAGTTTGTAAATATCTCCACATTTTCCTTTCCCTCTCCTAGTTCATGCCTTCCCATGATATCTTCTTAACCGTCATTATCCATTCCGACTTTTCCGTTTAGATCCTCCATCAAGGTGGTTAGTCCTTTTCCTGAGTATTTCTCTACGATCGATTGCAGCCTCTCGTAAAACTGATCATTGTCGTCGTTGTTGCTATCATTGATGGGTGTAGAACGATGGATGAGATTCACTGTGATTCCCTCCTACTTTATTTTGAATGATGCATTGACTATCCGGGGTCCATGAGATTCCAATCTCATAAGCGCATTTCGTGCTTCATTAACAGCAATATAGTAAATTTCTGAGTGTGTGGAGCATGATCCTCTTGATGAACAGAGCTCAGAAGCATCTCTCCCGTATCTAACCTTCACTGTCCAGCTTGGTTTTTAATGTGTCTTGCTGATTCCGAGCACTGTCACGTTGTATCACTCCATTTCTGTGGCTATTTGACTCGTTCCTCCGGTCTCCTACATCGACCGAACATTCAGTGTACCTATATTGATTGTTGCCCTGGTTGTTAAAAGGGGCTTTCGTTTTGTGACGTCCAAAGAATCTCGGCTATCATCATGAGGCGTCATAATTCTTCCATCAACTCGGAGGGTAGAGTTTGCTTACTCAAGTTAGCATTGTTTTAGCAAGGTCATTTGTTACTGGATGGAGTATCAGTATCAGAACAACTTCCGAGTGTGTGGAGCATATCCTTCTCTGTGAACAGAGTACAACAGCATCAATATTGAATCTCAACCGTTCTGTCCAGCTTGGACCCAATGCGTTTCAATGGTTCTGAGCACCGCCAAGTTGTATCTGCTCATTTCCGTAGCTATTTGACTGGTGACTTTTAGTGACTCATGAAAACGAAAATTCCTCGCCCCACGAAAAGTACCACTAATACCTACGGGGGGTAAGTGAAGAAACTCAGTAGGACATATGATAAACCATAAGGTCAATTGACTTGACAAGAAAAACAACTTAAAGAAACCCGGAACTAGAGAAGATATTGCCATAGTATCGGTGAATAAAAAACATACATGTGAAACCAGCTGAGGATAAAAGCGCATACAAACCAATCAACAAAAATCCAGTCAGGTTAAAAGAAATATCCCAAGGACTTTAAACAGGCTCGTCAAAGCAGAACAAACATTAAAGAAAGATCAGTGGAGAATGAAACCCACTGGACCCGTACTCCTTCGATTCTGTGGTAGGCTAAAAATACACAGACCAAACACCCCAGTACTTCCAATTGTAGAACACCCCGGAACATCAATGTACAATTTGTTGAGATAAATTTCCCGTATATTGAGAGATTTAGTGGATTCATCTAATAATTCCATCAAATCTCCGATACAATTCCTAGGTAAAATTAAGGAAATTCAATTTAGCAAAAACTAACTGATGATGTCCTTCGATACAGCAGCCTTATTCAATTGCTCAACAACATATTTTCAATTCAGCAACAAAATCTACGAACAAATGAAAGGAACGCAAATTGGATCACCAATATCAGGATTTATTGCAGAAGCAGTGACGCGCTGATTAGAAGCCTCGATCTTATCACCGATCAGACCAAAAATTTGGATTCGTCTTTGGACAGCATATTCGTCATCGTCAAAAAGAACAAGCAGGAAAACACTAACAATCTGATCAATAACATCTTCGATGACATAATGTTGACAATAGAACAGGAATCAAACGACAAGCTATCATTCTTGGATGTATTGATCACCAGAACTGGCATAGGAAAACTGGAGACTCAAGTTCATCGGAAGCCAACCCACATAGATCAAATCCTTAATTGCAGTAACAACAAACCAAGAGCTCTCAAAATTAAACTTTATTCAAGAGGGCAAAAACACACTGCAAAACACTTGCAGCGCGGACAAATGAAGAAAAACATCTGAAGATTATCTTTCAAACGAACGGGTACCCAAACAATTTAGTCAAAAAATATAAACTAAACGCATCAGCAGAAACAAAATCAAGCGTAGAAACCAACCAACGGTTCATCCTGCTACATATAAAAGGCATGTCAGAAATTACAATGAGATTGTTGAAGACTTTTGGAATAAGTGTGACACACATAACAACAAAACCACTTTGACCAAACCTATGTAAACCAAAGGACGAAATGAAAAGGGAGGAGAAAACCGAGAATCATCCATAAAATGAATTGTTCCAACCATTAAAACACTATGTCAGACAGAGTGGACCTCCTCTTGATCGACTTGCATAAACATCGATTGGCAGTCAAACGACATGACATACCCTCGCCTATATCAATGCATGTGGTCAAATGTGGACACACATTCGACTAAGATAATGTAGAGGTCTTCGTTAGAGAGAATACTAAAAACACCAGCGAATTTTTAGAAGCTTTACACTCAGGTCGATCAGCTATCAAAGAGCATATTGAAATCGATCCAATTTATCAAGTAATCAGAAAAATTATGAACAAATATGGGACCAAGAATCAAATCGAAGGGGGATACAATCAATAGATTTTCCAACAGCTTTTTAAACAGTGCCTCATTTGTCAATGCAAAGGTCGCAGATTGATTTCAATATCACACTTCTATCCTGGCTCCGAAACTACCCAGAGGACTCGACAATTCGCACCGGGTTTAGTAAGGGTCAATCTTAGTGTCCACTTCTGTTTTTAATACTTGTTACTATCTGCTAGATAAATTAGCTCTGTGGAGTAGAGACTTGACAAACTCGTAACTATTCGTATAAAATCACCCACCGTATTGACAGGATATGCACGATGCATGTTTTATAATATATCATGTCATCATAATCACATATCGTTAACGTATAACTATCTCGCTAGTCTTCATCCCCATTTCCCTTTACTATACTTACTGATTTGTTTATTTGGTTTTCAAAAAAGATCGCCTTTTCTTGACATCCGAATCACTACTTTATCATTTTCACACTGCAACCAACTTACGTTCTAACCGGAAATGTGTTTGCTTCTGGCATCGAGATAATCTACTGCTTTGAGATAAACATACTCACTCAGACTATAAGACACACAAACCCAAACACAACTACCAAACTGTGTATAATTATTGCATTCGGTTGATTAGGCTATTATTTACTGGGTATTACAAGTACCTGAAGCCGTACCGAAGCAACAAGAAGCCAGCACAAATAGACCAATTGATTTGTTTAGGCTTGCCACAAAGATATTGGGTAATGGATAACCCTATACATTCAATTATGTATAACCCTCTTTAGAAATCCGTCCTGACAAAATGAACTTTACGGAAACTCTTACTTCAAAGACTAACATAAGGCAATCGACCTATCACCCCGGCTACTTTAAGATATTGGGAAACTAGCGCGGGTGGTTTGGTATTTGTCCTTGCCGAAAAATGCCAGGTGACCACTTCGAGTTTGATGAGAGTGGAGATACATTCCTGTGCTTTCTGACTGCATTTTACACCTTAGTTTTAATCCCACTCACCTATTTCTGTTGGCCATCCCTTGAGTTCAAAGGTAATATGTTCTTAAACATAATGAAAATGTCAAGAATCATATGAACAATCTAAAAGAAAATGCATGTGTCAACCTTGCCAACTCAAAAGGCATCATTTAAAATCTTCCACACCGCTTAAAAGGCTCAAAAAAATCATAATGTTAGTTATTATAGAATTAAAACAATTTATTTTGTAGAAAGGCTGCATTTGTTGCTGGCTGGGGAATATTTTTCTTACTTGTGTACAAACTCACTTTAATTGAGCCTGATAACTCTGGATTCGATCCGTTCTTGGTTTTGGGAATAGACAAAGTAATTGTGTGTTAAATATCGCATTATTCTATAGGATGCATCTCCCAAAGATATCCGAAGTGCGTACAAAAAACTATCCTTACTGAACCATCCTGATAAAGGTGGTGATCCCAAACGCTTTATACAAATCTCAAAAGCATATAACGCGTAAGTTTGATTCTCC